TTTATGAATTATTCATGGGACTGATAAATAATTAATTTGTTTTTCAGCTATTGGGCGGTGCCTGCTTCAGTCATGGCCCATACACGTTTTATAAAGCTGTGAGAATTGGCAGTGGACGTGTTTTACGGCTTGGTAGTTTCTTTTTAACAAAATTATGGACCGATGCCGATTTAGTTAGTATCGGTGAACTACAGCTGCTATGGATTGACAGTAGGGGCTCAAATCAGCCATTAGCATCGTTGAGGCTGTACTTCCTGCCTGAAAATACTCCGGATGGACGACGTGATACTCACGGCGAAGTAAGTACTCTCTCATATTTTTTATTATTATTATTTTTCCCAGAAATAACTCGGGCTTAATCAATCGATCAGTCGTGAATGCAGCATTCGGGGAGAAATTGGCGAACGGAATTATTGAATTTTCCACTTAAATGTCATACAAGTGACAGTTTCATTGGAGTTTACTGGAATTTCGTCATTGATTATTTGTGGAATTCCCGGAAAAACTCGGTACTGCAAATTTCAGTTGAATCCCTCCATGCAAATTAACGAATAGATTTCTACTAAAATACCAAATTTCACGAATTCTTTTCTCAGGAATAAAATACCGCTCATTTTCGCTTCCCAGCAATTTCCGGTACATGAAAATCTCCAGAAATAAATTATCCTATTATGTATTCATCCCAGTAAACGGAGGATTTAACGAAAGCCGAGAAAACAATTGAAATGAATGAATCATCCGTCAATTGAATGAATTCCACAAAAACTGGAATACTTTTAAAATCAGCGGAACCAAATTATCAAATTACCGCCAACTAGATTCCCTGAAAAATCACCCATTTACATTTCCGATGATAAAAATTTATTTTCCCGTTATTCCACCCTATTTCCGAGTGCGCGAAAATATCGAGAAAGAGATTATCCAATTATGCATTAATTAAGATGGTATAATTGCGTTTGTTGGTGAGGATTAGGGATAGATTTTCCACTGGCGGATGAAATAGTGAATTATTTTTTAGTAATTTGTTTGATATACATGGGAAGCTGAATGGGTGGTGGGTGGTTGGGTGAGGGGGGTTAAAGTTGTCTAATAATTCGCCAGATTGGCGCCATTGGTGAGCATGCGCGACAAAAACCAATAACACCGACTTGCCGGTTTACCCATACACATCCGCCCTCTTCCATCTCCATTCTCCTCATCCACCGATCGTTTCACCTACCCTCCATACCGTTCATTCTTTCCAACCAATGTATATACTACATGTACATGAAAAGACCCACCCATTGCCAAAACCACCCTCTTCAAGTCCCTCTACCCCATCAGCTCCATACCTTACTCCAATCCTCCATGTACTATATATACGCAATATATATGTAATATATATGTATCTCCATGAATATATGTGTGCTATATATACACGTGTCTATGTATATGTGTGGGTAAGGGGTCATGCTCGTTTTCTAACGTAAACTCAAATTTATCGCTTCGTATAATCTCATTCCGATTTTCCCAAAAGGAATTACAACGACGACGTTGGCTTTATCATGATTCAACTTGCATTATAAATTATCATATTTTTTTTTTTCATTCTTTCTGCTGCTTTGGGACTAATAAAGTCCAGGGAACATTCAATTTTTTTGCCATTTTTCATTTTCGGCCTTCTGCTGGTGGGGTATTATATATTAATGATTGTGGCATTGGCAGTTACATGGCGGATTTGACAGCGATCAATGCGATTATTTGTTGGAGTTTGTTCTGATTGATAAATTGCTGTGGGAATTCAGTTATCCGGGATTATGAGACGGAAACATGCCTCAGGCATTAGGTTGAATCAATGTGCATCGGATTGACTCGAGTCAATACCTAGGGAACCGGATAATGCAAATGCATACCGATGCAACTTGTATACATGGAAAAAATTGTCTTCTATTTACATTTTGCACTTGATTTAACTACACGTTTACATTATCCGGGAAAGGACATTCTCGATTTTAATACGATTTTATTTTTCGGATCCTCGAGGAAATAGACTGCAGAAAAAATAGATCAATGTCAATTTTCCGATGACCTATTTTTTCCTGGTCTATCTCTTCTGCCCACCACATCATCCACTAAAAACTGTGATATTTCATACTTGACTCAAGACTGAACCAATTCCCGAACATTTAATCTAATCAACCGTTCCACTTCATTATGACTCATCGAAATAAAATAGAACATGTCGAGACTCTTAAACAGATAGAGAAAGAAAATAGTAATTGAACGTAAATAATTCTATGCTAGTACAATTTTTTTTTGGGATGCAATGAGTTATCGTTTAATTATTGACTATTATCTTCATAAAAATTCAACCACCAACTGTTGTTTTCTCGTATATATATTTTTTTTTATTTGCCTCCATTGACACGTGAAAGGATTTCAATTTCGAAATTTATTCGACCCCAACACTCAGACATACACAATGGAGGTACACACCACGTAAAACTTTGTGCGCCTGGCCTTGGTACTCACCGGGACGAGCTGCAATAAAGTTCACGTACACATACAATTCTCAAACCAACACCAATTCACTTTCATCGATCCCACCATCCTACATTTTTTTATTCTTTTTTCCTCGCTCTTTCAGTACTTTTTTATGAGATTTTGAATTTTTAATATCTATTAATTTTTTTAAAACTCTTCTAGTTTATAAATGCGAGAGT